TCCCCCCTCCCCCCTATCAAAACTCCTCCCTACAGTCCTGCACCACGTGCAGATAAGCATGCAATCAAGAAGAGAATAGGATAAGAACCGAATCAACAAGGCAAGGACAAAAAAAAGCTGAGATGTTTTATTCCCATTGTAATTAAATTTTTGTCCATATTCAGAATACCTCCAGAACTTCCAGAAATATACATAAGGGAAGAGTAAGCCAGTTTGACCCAGTCTGACTGGTCGTCACTCCAGATACTCAGAGATGCAGATGGCGAGCACTGTAAACAAGACATGCAAAAATATGTCAAGTAATGTTTAGTTTGTTCGGTACATGTACATTTACAGTATCTCCCTTGATTCAAGGGTTTTTCTTCCATCTGTGAGTTATCCATGCTCTGACTTAGATCAGCCCAGAGGTTGTTTCAGGGTTCTATCTGTGAGTTAGCCATGCTCTGACTTAGATCAGCCCAAAGGTTGTTTCAGGGTTCTATCTGTGAGTTAGCCATGCTNAGGTTGTTTCAGGGTTCTATCTGTGAGTTAGCCATGCTCTGACTTAGATCAGCCCAAAGGTTGTTTCAGGGTTCTATCTGTGAGTTAGCCATGCTCTGACTTAGATCAGCCCAGAGGTTGTTTCAGGGCTCTATCTGTGAGTTAGCCAYGCTCTGACTTAGATCAGCACAGAGGTTGTTTCAGGGTTCTATCTGTGAGTTAGCCATGCCCTGACTTAGATCAGCACAGAGGTTGTTTCAGGGTTCTATCTGTGAGTTAGCCATGCCCTGACTTAGATCAGCCCAGAGGTCGTTTCAGGGTTCTATCTGTGAGTTAGCCATGCCCTGACTTAGATCAGCCCAGAGGTTGTTTCAGGGTTCTATCTGTGAGTTAGCCATGCCCTGACTCAGATCAATACTCACAGAGGTTGTTTCAGGGTTTTATGAGAATTGATGGAAACATCATGGTTGACACTAAAGTGACAACAATATTTAGTCTGGTAAAAAAATCAGTCACATCATACCTGCCAAGCCTCAATTTGTTCTTCAATCTGCTCAAAACAAAACAAAGAAAATTAATTTAATAATATATTATGATTTTGTTTAAAGATGGATATTATAGCCATGATAAATTCTGTGAGTACAGAACCCAGAATCAAGGGTGGTGTATAGGCCAATCGTTATTTACGTTTTTTCCTCATTAGCATAAAAAAAGACTTGCAAGTCTTGCCACATGACCATACATTTCTTCGTAAGTTATAGTGTTTCCAAAAACATTTTACTCCCAAAATATTGAACATATTACTCTCAAATTTTCAGTAGTTACTAAATAAGACATTCTCTTTCGATTTCTGGAGTCAGTTTGCTTGTAGCTTGACATTTTTAAATATAATAATGAAGAAAAAACGTAAGTATAGTCTTGGGCTTGATTCAATGTGATGGCGTCACACGGCAGAGTTTCGCTAAAAGGGAAAATTTTATCTAACCTTGTGTAAGCTAGCTTTATAATCAGGCATGCTGTAGAATATCTCTTTTAGCAAACTGAAGAAACTGGAAAACTTTCCTGTTGGCGGAGGTGGTCTAAAACAACAAACAAACAAACAAACAAAGTACATGTAGTGAATCAATGGAAAAATTTAATTAATGAAAATGTTTTTTCTTACAAGTTTGTAGAACCAGCTTCAGAAGGACCAGTCTTTGAATCCTGTTTTTTTGCTTGTGTTCGATTCCTTTCTTGCTTTTGTTGTAGTTTCTGTTTTAGTTTTTTCTTTAGTTTGGCTTTCTTGTCCTTTTTCTTGTTCATCTCAACTAAACAAAATTCAACCACAAAACATATTGAATTTATAAAAAAACATACTTTAAATAGACAATGCAACATTTGTTACTGCAAGCTTTCAGTTTCTATTTCATTAGTTTAAGGACACAAGGGAATTTTTATCAAATAGATTTTCCATGATGAGTCACATTAACTATTGTGCTCCATTAAAATCTCATTGTTTAGTGATGATTAGGTTTAGGGATATGGCTTGAGTAAGGTTTACTGTTGTATTATACCTAATTGTGTTTATCCTTAATTTTAAATTAATATTATTGTCTCCCTACGCCAAGTTATTGATAGAACAGAATCCCTTTAGTCTGGGAATTGAATTCTTTTTCAAGTATAATGATTGAATTGTACAGCTGTTAGATAAATATGCTATATTTTCCCTGCCATCCAACATTTCTGTCATCAAAATACTTTAGTCTAAATTTAACCTCTAGTAATAATTTATATTTATTTAAAGATAAATTGGGTAGTACATTGAAAGAAGATTTCTCAGTAGATCTTGAAGAAAACAGCTACACAATGTACAGTGTACATGTAAATCTGACTATCAATTATCAGACAATGAAATAAAAATTGCAAAAAATTGCCTTAAAAATAGGCAATAAATACTCTCCTCCTCTGCCACTCTTTAGGTCCAGAGAGAGTCTAGAGCGGGACCCTAAAAGTGACTGCAGGAGACTAGCAAAGAAGTTGTCTAAAACTCTAGCATGCTGGTTGCTGCAGGCTAATACTTAGAACCTTGTCATACAGTGAAATGTACCTTGTGTTTGTGGAACATCTTTTGTCTTACTACCAACTGTTTGAATTAAAAGAACAATGCATGATTTGCAGAGCAGATTTACTGTAATACGACTGGGAAATGCGTTTCAGGTGCTCATAAACGATGTTATGACTGGAATGGATGTTCTGAATGTGTCACACATTATGTCATGTATGTGTAACTGTTTTCAAGTCTGGAATATGACTGCATTGCTGTGCAATAGTTAATTATGACCCACTCATAAGAAATCTGCTCTACTTATAATGAAAAATTATATTTTTAGGATAACAGTCATCTTTATAATGATTTCACTTGTATGATTCACATATATTCTGTTGTAGATTGGAGAACTGTTGACAGTATTGAAGTATTCTGTCAATACAAAAGAGTGATGATAATGAAAGTTATGACATCTGCAGTGTCACTTACAGGTTGAAGGTCTTTTTGATGGGTTAGTTCTGTAGACTATGTCAGACAAAGCAGTAAATCTTGTGTCTAGTTCAGGGTGATCCTACAACAAGGCCAAATACAATGGTTGAGAAAGCTTTATCATTTAAAACTTTGAATACCAAAACTAAACTAAWACTACCAACAAATGATTAAATTATAATCAAAAATAAATTCAAGATAATGCAAAACAAAAAACAAAAAACAAAAAAACAGACCTATTCCGGTTGAATTTTCAATTTAGCATATTCAATTTTTTGCAGAGGATAAAAAACTGGTAAAGAGAAAGTTAGGGGAAACTTTTGAATCAAGGGAGAAGCCTTACAAACTTTGCTCACATGTGATGTTAAGTCCAGAAATCAAACCTGAGACCCCAGAGGTGAGAGGCAAGTGTATTATTGCTATACTGATTACAAAATGCCATGGATATTTTTACCTCGTTACAGGTTCGCCTCTTCTTGTGTTTCTGAAGCATTTGCTGAAAGTCTTTCTCTGTAACGTTGACGTTCGAAGGGGTCAGAGGAGGGCGAGGTGCATGGGATGAGAACGGGAAGGCAGGATACCCATACGGCATGCCAGGGATAGATGGTATCATTGGATGATACCCTGGGTGACCTGGAAACAGCCCAGCTGGGTGGCCAGGAAATGGCATCGGGTACCTAAGTGACCCGAAAGGACCTGGGAGAAGAAATCTTTCTTCTTCATCTGATGAAATGGCTTGATCCTGAAATGAAAAGTTAGTATATATTTTGAATTAAAAAATCCAACATGGGGTTGTTTGATGTTTATCAAGAAATAATTGGAAAATTTGGCTCCTTTTCAAAATCATACCTCGCATTCTTGCTTGCATTCATGAATAATTCTTTGAAGAAAAAGACAAAAATTGAAATCTGCTTGTTAAAGTTGCTGGAAAAACCTTGAATAGTCAAATTACCCACACCTCCCCTTAATAAATTAATTAATAGTGGAGCGCCATACTTAAGAAAAATTGGTAATTCATGGAGTTGATTTTTGATGGCTTGACTACTAATTCACTTCTGTCCATGCACATAACACAGAGATCCTGCTTGATGCCAAAGCAAAACTACTCGCAAACCCGCTCTCAAATGCACAGAAAAAACATCGCTATGGAACAAATTTCAGGAACAAAACAACAGGAAAAAAAATGTAGTCAAATATGGATCTAGAAGTATTCTTCAAGAATTAATTAATTGAATAATTAATTGGACAGGTCTGGAATGGAATTTCAATGGGTTTGGCGATTATGAAAAAGATTAAATCTTTCGACTTCAGTAATTTGTAGAAGAAAAATTTAGGTGTGGATTGAATGCATGAGCTTTAACATAAATCTCCCACTAGGAGCAATACATAAATGTGTATTTTCTGGAGTGGAAGACAAGGGTTGAGAGGTTTTGACAACTCACTTTTTGAAACGTGTCTGTACCCCATGCTCCAAGGATGACCAATTTTCAGAGAGTACTTTCCCTCTGAAAAAGAAGGTTAAAATCAATCATGGAATAATAAGACAAAAAAAAAAAAAAAAAAAAAAAAAAAAANAGAAGAAGAAGAAGAAGAAGAAGAAAATTTATATCATATTTTCCTAAAGGGTACATGTATAAACTTCCTTTGAGCACGGCATAGGAAGAGTACCTTGTTCGTATTGGATCATTTGGCCCTTGTCTGCTTACTTGATCAAGAATTTCCTTTTGAATGAAACAAGAAAAATGAATAATAAGAGAATGAGAGAGCATAAGATGATAAATAGATTGATCAATTCTTTCATTCTTTTTATTAATATTTTCATTCATTTTTCATTCATTCATTTATTCAAGCTGGTCATACCTGTCTGGATACTATGATCTCCTGAAGTAGCTTTCTGTAGTACGCCTGCAATTGTAGCTAATAGTAACAATATAAACTAGTTTAGTAGCATTTTGGCAATACAAATTGCTCCATGCTAATCAAGACAACAGTYATGATAGGGAAATCAGGTAATAGACTGCTGTCAATCAAACAAATTGTTCCCATTTACCTTCCTACAGTACCAACATACTGTTCCTTTACAGTATGTACTCTAAAAACTTATTTGATTTACAGCTGTTTATTTCCCAATTTCCCAGTCACAACTGTCGTTTTGATGAGATTAATTGGTTAAAATTTATCACAGCCTTAACACTGATTGGCTTAGAGAGCATTCACTTTTGATGTCACCCATCTCAATTTAAGTAAAAAGGGAAAACATTGCAACCACTTTTTATATTTCTTACATTATTACCTTGTATTCTTTCTTCTTTGCTTTTTGGCAAAGCTTTTTGTATTCCACAACATCAGGATAAAAATAACCATCTAGAAAAATTTTTTGAATCAGTAAAATATATCACTTTCACAAAAAATACCAGAGTAATGCCTCTCATGTACTGTACTGTATGTTGAGAGTTTCCTTCCAGGTTCTTCAGTTTCCTCCCTCCACAAAAAACCAACATCTAAATTCCAATTATGGAATGATTGAGGTCCACAGTTTGTAAGCCTATGACTATTCCAGGGTTATGGGTCGCATACTCTGCTAATGCGTCATCTTTCACTGCTGTGAGTCCAACATGTCAGGTCTCTGGTTTGAGCCCCGTGTTGGCCACATGTGAATTGAGTTTGTTTGATGTGTTGGTTCTCTCCTGTGCTTTGAGAATTTTTCTCCGGGTTCTCCGGTTTTCCTCCCGTCATAAAAAACAGCATGTGAATTGAGCATTGTGTGCATAAAATAGTAAATATAGTGGTAGTGAGTATTTTACAGTATTTACGGTAGCATGCAAGAAGGTTTACAAGTGCGTAGCCTGCTGAACTGGGAGACAATCCTTTTGTTTTATATGAACTCCTCCAAAGGTAAGTGATGGCATGCAGGCTAAGTAAATTTAGAAAGGACATCCTTTATATCCAAGACTGACAATAGCATCAATGTCTAACCTTTTAATTTTGTATGAAAATCTTCGATAGGGTTTCCAAACTTGAAGTTTTCTCCTTCAAAGAGAGCCCTGGACAACGAGAAGTAAAATAAATAAATTATGATATTGTACCATTACCAATAGCTAGTTTCTAGGATTATTACACACATAAAACAAATAAGTCTACCTGAGATTTTCTTCTTGGGCATGAGGATAATCTGTCGGTAACTGGGGCAGAAATTTCTAAATTGAATAATTTCAAGCCAGTTAGTGGAAAATCATGTTACAGTAGTAAGCTTAAACTCAATTTCATATAGCTCTGAAAAACTTGTGGTAAATACATGTATGTGCTGTGTTCTGACCATGATAGCACCAGGTCTAGGTATTTTCATTGGCTGCGGAATGACCCTGTGCTGTGATTGGTCCAAAGGATGCAGTTCTTCAATTCCATACCACACCAGTGCTGTGCCATTTCACCGTCATTCGAAATGCCTGCTCTAGTATTGTAGGACATAGYCTAATACTAATATGTCTGTATTGATTTTGTTTTTAAAAGTATTTATCTACCTCAAGGTGTTTTTTGTTTTCAGGAGTGAGGACATTCTTCCAGGTGTCTAGACTGACGATCTTTGAGAAAATCTCAGGCTGTAACATAACAAAATACATCACTTAGGAAATCAGGTTTACTTTAACATCATATATAGTTTATCTACTGTAGACTTATAGTAAGCTTACATTTAACTATAAAATGTCAAAAACACTCCGTACTACTAATTCAAAATATAGATTCCCTTTGGATCACCCATTTTATTTGAACACCAAATTGACTTACCGATTCTATAAGATCAATTGGAAGATGCACTTTACTGCCATTGAAGTCACAGATCTCTTCTCCTTGACTCGCTTCTTCCGCCATGAGAAAGATTGAGAACGAATTTCACAAAATGCCTCTCAAACTCAATCTGTTTTTATAGTTCTAATAGATCATCTAAAGCATAAACTGATACAGCCTTATTGGTGATTATTAGAGGATCATATTCGCTAAAGCGATCGCCATAAAGTTGAAGTTAAGTCTTGAATTTCAAGGTCTTTTCAAAGGCACTCTTCTTTCTCGTCACTTGACCGCCATATTGTTTTGAAAAGCATTACCGCTGACACCAAACGAAATCTAAAAAGTATTTTCATTGGTGGATAKGGTCAGCCAATCATAGTGCCTCTTATATTTGTACAAGAAGGAATCTTTGGCGCTCAAAACAAATCAATGGCGGACATAATGGCTGAATGACGTTCCAAAAACATCTTTTTTCTCCTCCCTCAAGCCATGCTTTTACTACAAAATTAGCTAAGAATGCCGAGGAGAAAGGTAAATTTCGTAAGTGTTATTCTTGAGTTTGTACCTGTTTATTTTCTTGGTACATTTTGAGGTGTTTTGGAGTCAATGATGCTCACATCAGTTTTGTTTTGGATTCTTTCAGCGTAAGCCGTCATTAGAGGACCAGTCAGACTCAGACTTTGATGTTGATATTGAGACGTTATCTGAGGATACTGCAGACACAGAAAGCAATCCTTCTTACTCGAGTTCTCCAAGAAAACAAGACGCTTCGCCTCGCAGATTGAAGAAATCACCTAACGTCACTCCCAGAAAAGGTAACACACTCACCTCAGCACACTTTAAAATACAGTAGTAGTTCTAAGTATGTAATGCAAGGTTAGAAAGGAGWTAAGATACCATGCATTAGGTTATTTGCATTTTTTAAGTCATTCTTTCATTCATTCATATAAAACATGGCAAAAATCATACTTTGACTCAAAGGATGCTGGGATCCCTGTGGTGTAGCTTTTCCACAGGAACCCCAACTTCCATTTAGTGCAGCAAATTTGAAAGTTTTTAACGCTAAATTCCACACATCTGTATATGATTCTATAAAAGGTGCCAACTGCAATGTATTCCTTTGAAACAGGTGTAAGAAGGTCAGGCCGTAAAAATCTTTCTGGAGGACAGAGCAGCCAGGAAGGGTCTAAAGAATGCTGTCTGTGTTTTGAGATTAGCGATGAAGGACCTCCTGATGCTGAAGATATGATTGTCTGTGCTGAATGCAGAAATTATAGTGAGTCTTTATTTATAAATTTTCAAAAAATGCTTAGGACAAGACAAATAATGAATAAATATTAAAAAAGAAAGAAAGAGTACTTCGTTTGCAAATAAGGTCATAATCGCCATCTTGGATTAATTTAACGAAAGAATTGTCAATGAATTCTTTTGTTATATCATCCAACATGGCCACCGTGTCTTTTGCCCCCTTGGGAATAATTGAAAACCATCGATGGCTTGTAGAAAATTTTAATACAGAATTTGTTTATTTAATAATAATTATTATTTATTTTTACACATAAGAAGGACTGCAAAATGCAGTTTCACAATTTTGATGTTTTCCAGTGCTCGGTTTACTTGTGCTTCTTGACAGGGGTTTCTTAATTATTGATTGACACCTACAAATCAATGCTTGTGACACAAAGTGGGGCAGTTATGTGGTTGGCTACCCCAAATTTGTATTCCAACAGGAATAGAAACACAATTAAACTACGTAGAAATGTGATATGAACATTTTTGATGTTTGTAGGCCATCAGTCCTGTTTAGGAATGTCAAGTAATATGTTATCAATTGTCAAGATGTATCCTTGGCAATGTTCATCCTGCAAGACCTGTGAGAAATGTAATATTAGAAGACCCAAGGTAACATTAAAGAAATCTTTATTTGCAGTTAAGTTTCAAGTGAGGCCTATAACGTTTCAGGCAATTTAAGGGCAGATCCAGGATATTTTTGACAGCAGAGAGGGGGATCCAAAGCATTCCATACATGACGTCGCTTTTGATGCCATACTAATACATAAATACACCATATAGACTTTTCATTTGTGTTACTATTGTTAAACATTTTAATTTCAATTGATAGACCTGCCTATGCCAGTTATGACTTTCAGTTTAACTGGATATTACATTATTAAGATTCTTTATAATATATCGTACGGTTGAGAGGGGGGGGGGGGGGGGGGGGAGGGGGGTCAGCCCTTCTGGATCAGCCCCTACAATTATTCAACAGTAATTATATGTCTCATTTGAATCATTAATGATAAAAGGGTAAATTATAAACCGTAAAAAGATGAAAAAACTTACTGACGTTTCAGACGCTAGTCCTTCATCAGAGTAAATCTATACTTCTAACTAGATGCTACTGAAAGACAACATCAAACATTCTTTTTAGAATACCAGTCATTCCCAAAATTAATTTCCATAAATCTAGAGTCATATACTCCAGTTTTGAATTCTCTGTCGGTCAGGTACTAAGCCATAACTCTTTATACTTATGTTAAATGATAATTTTTATATGATGAGTAACATTTTAGTTTTTATTTCCAGTGCAAGCTACGGGTCTGTAATAACTGCGATAGGAGTTTCCATACGACATGTATGGATCCAAACCTCGGTGTGGATGCCAACGAACAATGGACCTGTCAAATCTGTCTTGATGAGCCTGCAACACCAAAGGCACAGCCAGAAGAACAAGAAGAAGAGAAATTAGATGCCAAAAATGTTGATGAAAATATTTCAAAACCAATTCCAAAAACTGCTAGTCCCTTACGAAAATCTCCAAAACGAAAAAAAACTATGAAGTTTGTTCACAGAAAGAGATCAAAACTGAAAGAAGAGAGATCAAAAAGTGACGAAAATATGGCAAATACAGAATCAGAGGAATCTGAAGGGGGTTGTTTATCGGACGTTTCACTGTCGTCTTCGCCAGCGAAAGAACTAGACTACGGAACTTCAACTTCTTCTTTCAAGACATTTTATGTGAAGAGTTCAAGTATCCAGAAAAAATGTCCAACTCAAGGCTGTGATGGGAAAGGTCACTTGACGGGGAGGTTTAGCATGCATCATACTGTATCAGGCTGTCCAAAGTACCATCACATGACAGCTGAAGAATGCAAGGTAAGGACTATGACGGCAATCAAGGGTGGTGTAGCTGGTGTCCTCACCTCTCCCCTCTAGGGTCTAGGGTTTGATTCCTCGACTCAGCATCACCTGGTGTAGGTGGTGTCCTCACCTCTCACCTCTGGGGTCTAGGGTTTGATTTCTGGACTCAGCATCACCTGGAGTGGAGTTGGGTCTCTCTCTCTTGATTTGAAGGATTTTTTCCATCTTCCCCCTCCCTCTGCAAAACCTACAATGCTAAATTTCAATTTATATGTGAATTAGCCATGTCCTTGTGTGTACTTTGATCAGCCCAGAGGTTGTTTTAGGGTAACATTGAATTTAAAGCTAATCCACAGTTTTGTTGTCCAACAGTTTAAAGCAGAAGAGCGAGAAAAGGAAATCAAAGAAAAGCGCATTTCAAGAAAAGTAGCAGTTGATACCACCATCACGACGGAAGACACACCAAGACGAGATCTTAGAAGACAAGTTGCTTTGTCCTTCATGGCTGAAAAGGTCCGCTCTGCAGTAGGAAGTGCAGAACTGATGCCAAACAATTTGGAAAAGTACAAAATGTCACCAGCTCCTTCAAGAAGCTCTACAGTCATGGAGCCAGTATCACTAGTTGCTCCTCGTGAAGAACTCAAGGAAGAAGTGCTCAAAGGGCTCACATCAGAGTATGACTTTCACTTATTTAAAACTGCTTGGAAGAAGGCAGCTGAGGTCAATGAAGAGGTAAACAATGATGCAATGTGAGAAATTAATCAACTTTTCATTTTTGTCTTGAATTGGGCTCCCTGTGTGTATTGAAACCACAGGCACCCCAAACCATTTTATTTTGTGTTTTATTTTATTTTTTACATAGGAAGCTTCTATCCYAGTAAATGGTCGTCCAGTTTGTCGGTGTGTTGTATTCGGCATGTTTGAAATAGACACATGGTATTCATCACCATATCCCGAGGATTATCAGAGGCTCAAGAGGATCTACATTTGTGAGTTCTGTTTGAAGTACATGAAAAGTCCCACTATCCTCAGAAGACACATGGTAGGTGCAAATGTATATATATATATATATATTTTTTAAGCAGCTTTGTTGGCCTTCAAATTTCTCAATGAACAAAATAATTAACAAACATACTAAAGRAAAAAAAAGCAAGAAAGAAGGACCAAGAGGGTGGGCGCAAAATGGTGCGAACAGTGGGTTGCTTATATTAACATGAACATAGAGTACTGAAGTGATGACGTCGCAAAATAATTAAAAAAACATTTAGGATTTTGGTAGCATTATCAGAAACTGCATCTAAAAATATGATATGGTGTAAAATTTCAGAGCAATAGAGCGAAAACGGCTTAGATATAGGTAATTTAATATGAAAATATCCCTATACATTATCTCTTATTTGAGGCTGGATCTAAAATGATTGAATCCAGTCCAAAATAGAGAAATATATGGGGCTTTTTGGAGCTTAAATGCCTCATATTTCCATTTCTAAAGCTTGGAACAGCCTTAAAATTGGCAGAAACATCAAGATTTCAAAACTGAATTGCAAAATGTTTAATATTGATGGAATCACACTTTGGTACTCTATTAAAGCCTTTGTTTAAATCTGCATTAACATATTTAGAAGTGCTTAGGTAATTGCCCTTCAATATTCAAATTTTATCAAACCCTGAAACACCCTCCAGGCGTATCATGGACTGGGCGTGGCAAACTCACAAATTAAACCCTGAAATGACCTCTGGGCGGATCTTAGTCAGGGCCATAGTTAACTCACAGATCAAGTTGGAATTTAGCACAAATTCTGCTCACATGTCCAGGAATCAATTAATTAACTATTAACTTTCCTGTTTTATCTAAAGACAAGTACATGCTTTGTTGAGTGTAGATTTGATTTGATTTCATGACAGGCAAAGTGTGTTTGGAAGCACCCACCAGGCATTGAAATTTACAGGAACAATAATCTGTCTGTGTTTGAAGTGGATGGGAAAAAGCACAAAGTAGGTTTTTATAATAATGCTTTCCTACTTAGTAGACTAATTCTTCCATTAGCTGTTTAAATGCTCATCCGTCCCTCCGTCCCTCCCTCCATCCCATCCATCCATCCATCCATCCATCCATCCATCCACTCACCCATTTACTGTATTCATCCACCCGTCCACGCCTCCATCCACCAACTTACCTAATAACCCACCCATCCATTCACCCTCCCATCCACCCATTAACTCATCCATTAACCCACTCATTCTTAAATGCATCCTTCTATCAACTCACCCACCCACCTGTCCTTCCATCCATTCACTTACCCATCCATCTATTCACCAATCCATCCACCCATGATTACAAAGCTGCAATAAACATCCCTATTAGTTTGGGTACTATATTCAAAAGTATCTCAATTTTTATAGCTATTCATATTTCAGTATTATCATTATTAATATCATACCATTGTATTTTGTGTCTTGTTATCAGACATACTGTCAAAACCTCTGCTTGATGGCCAAACTATTCCTGGACCACAAAACACTGTATTACGATGTTGAGCCATTCCTTTTCTATGTGATGACCAAAGCAGATAATGTTGGGTGCCGGTTTATCGGCTATTTCTCCAAGGTAACCCTTTTTATTTCAATTGAAATCATCCATTGACCTATGAACATCTTAACAAGATAAACAATATACAATTAAAGCAAATAATTATGAGGGAAATATGAAAGAGAATCCTAAAGAAATCATATTCTTTTTTTGTTGTTTCAGGAGAAGAAATCATTTTTAAACTACAATGTGTCTTGCATTCTTACTCTTCCTGCGTACATGAAACAAGGATATGGAAAAATGTTGATTGACTTTAGTAAGTGATACCAAGATTCTTGCAATGTCACTACTTTTAGCAACTTATGTGCACAAAGTTAATGTAGGGTGTGGTTTTTAGGGTGCAGTGTTTTAAAGTCAGTAATATAAAAAATTCCATTCTGTCTTTCTCTCTATGCTATCCCTCTCTGAGAAGGAAGGATGGTGAGCAGAGTTTTTCAAGAATATCAAATATAGAATTATATAAAAAAGTAATTAAGGGTAACATTTACAGCATGATGTTCAAAAGTGATAATGTAAAGTATTTGCATACTTATTTATGATCGGCTTTCTTATATCAAACTGACGCATTTCAATGTGAGGCCGGGTGGTTTTACCATATAAGGCATGTAAAAGCTTGTTTGTTGGCAAAAAGCTGGTGCATATACTTATGCAAATACATATATGTTATTTACTGGCCAGGAGGTCCGGATAGGAAAAACTGTGCCAGAGGTCTTGAAGGTTTTCAAGGCCGTGGGTGCAGTTTTTCCCTATCCTGACTGACTTTACAGTGTAGGACGGTAAATAACTTATTAATTTTTTTCCTGTATTTTTTTACTTGWTTTCGTAATCGTTTTGTTTTGTTGTTTAGCGGCAAATGATACCGGACCGTGAGCATGGGCAGATACTGACAAAATACCGCCCGCTCAAACAGCCAATCAGAACACACGATTTTTTAGTATAGTGGACCGGAAAAAATAAATTAAATTAATGTGGTCATACTTTTGTGTGTCATGCAGTAATAGCCAGTACCTAACAAACCTGTTGCTGTCATTTTAACACATCAGCTGACATGAACTAATCTATCCTAAGCATCTGCATATTGGTATAGAGTTACTGTCTGGTCTTATTATTGTACTTTAAATTGTTGTTCTCAGGTTACTTGTTGTCTAAAGTAGAAGGCAAAGTTGGATCTCCAGAGAAGCCTTTATCTGATCTTGGCTTAATCAGCTATCGCAGCTACTGGAAGTCAGTAGTTATCAAATATCTACAGACATATGGCTACGAAAAGATATCAGTACGAGGTATGAGCACAAGTTAGGGACCTGTAATTGATTAGAGAGGGCTGGTGCATTTTACTTTTGATTTACATATTTTTAAGAGTGCCTAAACTTTCCTGCTGTAGAAAAATTGTTTTCACAAAAAATAGTGACTCTCCATTTTAGGCTTGCATGAATTTTTGTAACCCTCCCTTAGAGTTTGCATGAAAAATAATTACCCCCCATTAACGATAGATCCTATGTGGCACCAGTTTTAATATTTGATTACAAGATATATGGGGAAGAGGTTTTGTTATTGTCATCAGATCATATTATGTTATTTTTGTAAAATTCCACAGATATCAGCCAAGAGACTGCAATCCATCCTAATGATATCGTCAGTACTTTACAATATCTTGGTATCCTAAAATACTGGAAGGGAAAGCATGTTGTGCTGAGATCCAAGGTATAGCAGTGCCATATATCTATTAGCTGTTCAAAGGTCAAGGAAAAAAGTTGGCATTGCTGTGCATTGTGGGACAGTGTTAGGGAGGATTGGGAGAATTTTTTAAACGATTGAAGGGGGGTACCCGAAAAACATGAATGCTATTAGGTTGGGGTCTAGAAAATATTTTGCATCAAGAACATTTTTCCCCCGACTTAATAATAATAATAATAATAATAATATATTTATAATGCGCATATTTCATGTGGATATGTTCATATGCGCAGAAATTAACTATGCCATTCAATTAAATAAATTGGATAAAAAGAAATATAAAGACTTAAATAATGACTGTTCCCTAAAACAGTCCTAAAGTGCACTACGATTCCAACTTGGGCCAATCTTTTCCCTCAACCTCAGAATGGCTAATGTCATATATTATATCATATACCTATATACTGACAGTACTCTTCACTAATGCTAAGTTTATGGTGAAGAGATAGAAATGTAGATAAGTTATAGTGCTTGGGAACGAGTTTATCCCGGGCGAAAGCCCTTGGAATTAAATTCGGAAAAATTAATTTCCGTCCTCGCTCTCATCTTAAGTTTATGGTGCATGTGTGAAAGGCCTGGACATAGAAAACTGATGGTCAAAGTACAGTATTTTTCTTTCCAGGTGAACCCTATGTAAAGTGATAAAAAATAAGATGGGAAAAAAGTGTTTTCGCAGATATCAATTATAATATTAGAATTTTTTTCACATTTTTTGGTCAACTTTCCTCAAGTCAAAAGATGGGGGAAGTAATTGGGTCAAATAAATAAATAAAATCCTTGATATTTCAGGAATTGTATGAAGAGTACAATAAGAAAGTTGACTCTCGGCCTGCAAACTACCAAGAGATTGACCCAGCATGTTTGCGCTGGTCCCCACCTGTTACTATGGAGAATAACAAACCATAGCAACTGGAGTATGGTATGTAACCTGTTACTATGGATACCAAAAAGCCATTGAAACTACAGCATCATTGGTAAGCGTAAAGCATAACTGTCAATGTTGCTATGACAAAAGATGTATTCATCCAGCGCCTTTTTATTGGTCCCCTATAATGATCGCTATAAGATATTTGTCAGTTGGTTTCCATGACAACTGCATTGGTGTCAGTGGTTAACTTTCATAAATGACGTCACTGCTCTATGCACGATAGCCATCAATCTGTTTCCATGGCTACCACAAGGTTAGATCTGTTGCTATGACCACTGTTGAAAACACAGCAGTCAAATGCTGATAAGTAAAAACTAAGTAGACAATGTATATAAAAGCATGTGACGAAAAGTAAGATGAAATGAACTGTACAATGTATCCTTGTAATTTGACAATAAAACATGTAGTACTGTTCATTTTGTGTATACTGGTTATCCATGCACAACTCTATGCACAACTCCATCCATCAACACAAAATAGACCAGTTTCGAATTCCAAATTACCGCTGTGTTCCTTGATTACAGACTCATTTGCACAGGGTTAGCCTCGTATCAGTGTTTAAATATTCACAAATACCAACAGAAAAGTAAAGAATGCAAAACTTCAACAATACAAACA